CCCTGCCCCCCCCCAAAACCCAAAAACACAAAAAAAGAAAAAAAACATGCGCTGCACACAGATAAATACACCTACACACATACAAACTATGCATGCCCACACCCCATCAATCACTACACCAGTGACATTGACAGCATAAATGGTCTGCACGCAAGTGATAATTACACATTTATATGCGTTACTTTAATGCCACTTGAACAATCAAATGTGATCGGTCATTCTTTTTCTTATCTTACATACTGAAACTCACCATGGTTGCTGGATTCTAATAATCCTGGTCCCCATCATATACTCAGTCCGTAACTAAATTTTTGGGGGTTCATGGCACAGTTAAATTGAAAAAGGATACGACTCGTATACATACCGACTACTGTTCAAGAAAGTGGCAAAAAGTGGGGAAAAGTGGATGTATAAAGCAGAAGCAGCCCTTGGCCGCTTCGCTTTGCCTCAAAGGCGTGGTATAAAGCGCCACTGGCTTTTTTGCTCGTGAAGGTGCGAAACAGCGGCAAAAAGCGCTTAATAGCGCTTTAACATGCTTAATTAAAAAAGGGGATGATGATAAACTGGTTTCAATTTTGCACCCGACCCACCCAGGACCTGTTTCTAACACCTTAAACCCATCCCTCTTTCTCCTTCTCTGATTCGAACCCAAAAAGGCCCTAAGATACCAAATAATCCTTTGTCTCCACTACCTCCTCTCCTTTAAGGAGCCGCCCCCCTCACCCCACCTAAAAAAAAAACAAAAAAACAAAAAAAACTGCCGCCAATTCTCCTTTAAGGAGCCGCCCCCCTCACCCCACCTAAAAAAAAAACAAAAAAACAAAAAAAACACTATCTCTAGCACCTTCTACCTCTTCCTTCAGTTCGTCTCCCGCTGCCTCTTATCATCCTCCACCATCTCTCTTGAACTCCTCTCACCATCGGTAGCAAGCTCCTCATCGCGCTTCAGTCCACTGCTCTCCCCTCCACCGCCTCGAAGAACCACTAGTACTTTGTTAATATTGTGCCATTGTTACACATTCATTTCATGCTTGGGATCTGTGCATAACATCAAATACACATTTGTATCAGTTTTATGTTTTTCTTGAAATTTTCTTTTTTTTTAAAGCATCTATCAGCTAGACCGCTCTTTTACTTGTTGTTTTCTCCCTCTTTGATCTGCTTAAGCCTCGAAAAGCCTAAACGTTGTCTCATCACTTCACTCCAATGTTTTAAATATCGGCCGATAAACCGATATTATCAACGATTTATGGGTTTTGGGGGGCCTTCCACTATGATAAGTTTGATTCTAAATCGGTTACGTTTTGGATGTTTATCGCCGATAATGCGGCGATAAAGTGAATTATCGGAAGATATTGTTGGCCCAAAAGTCAGAATTATCGATCTTTGGTTTGAGTTTTAATTTCGGGCAAATGCACCTATTCAATGCACTTTAAACCCGACCGGACCCGACCCAAGTTTCTATCATTGGTTAGTGATTCTAAACATAATTATTTACATTTTAGAATATTATATTATGTATATCACCATCTGGTAGTGCCACACCGATAAATACTACTTATTCTCGATATATCCCCGATATCCGCTATTCAATGTGGATTTTGACCGTCCGATAAATCCCCGATAACCGATATTTAAAACCTTGCTTCACTCAGTTTTCCACTTTCCACAGCCTTATTACCATGTACAAGGTAAATGCTAGAATGAGGTATTTAAATGATTATTTTATGTGAGATGGTTCAGTGGGTTATCCAGACCAACAACTAACACCATTCACTTTAATCATCATATCGAATTTATGTTTGTGAAGGTCAATCTGGTCTGAAACCCTCGTCACATGTCAAAAAACCCATAGCAGGACAATTTTCGGATGGCTGGAACTTCTTATGTCTTTTGGATACTTGATGTATATGAGAGGAGTCTTCAAATCATTTAGCATTTTATATAGAGAGGTTTGAAGAGATGCGTCCAATCTCCTCTGTAGATAGCTAGTGTTTTTTTCATTCTGACATTTCTCCGTAGGTGGTTGTATCCTTTTTTTTTTTTCCAAGTCTGTTGTATCTTTCTTTGAAGTCACTACTCAAGTGGGTAGACTTACAAACTAAAGCCAGTTGTATTTTTGCCTAATTAAAACAGTAAGCACAAAATTATTTCCTGTTGTATGAAGTTGCTATTTCTTCGTTCGCATGATTACAGGGAAAATGTGGATACGATCCTAAGAAATCAGGAAACCCTGGAGAACAAGGAGCTTGTTGTGCTGATAGCAAGCGTATTTTTCGCATGCTTTGCGCTTTTCAAGCTAACATGCGACCGGATCCTAACGCCATTTAGACCGTGTGAGCCCGAGAAGATGCACAGGAGAAGTAAAGGTTGGCTTTTGCTATTTATAAGCAGCAGCATGGCCGCCTTCATCGCCTTGCTATTATAGCGAGCCCTACCCCCGGGAGTTGAGATCCGGCTCTAGATAACCATCGTGGATTTGGGCTAGTTTTAACATATAGATAGTGTGTATAATTAAAGTTAGAGTTACTGTTCTATTCTTTTGAGTTTTTAGCTAGGGAGGAATTCTTGGGTACCAAGCTCTTTCGCTCGTCAATAATTACTTCGATCGCCGAGCGGAGTTATTAGCTGGTTAATGGAATCTTATGACTTTTTTTTTTATGCTTAGAGCTTGACCACTGGCTGACCGGGCCTTTTGTAAAGGGACGTCCGATGCTGAAAATGGCTTTCTCAGATGTACTGTTGTACATCCTTTTTTTTTTTAAATTTTTGTTGCGTCTTGATTGAAGGAGGAGAACAGCACCTGCTAAAGGAGTATTGCCTTCGAAACATGATACAGGACACAACAGATACTATAAAACACTAAATTATATCTATTAATAATAAAGACAATACATACAAACATGCACATATACAAACATAAACATGCACATATACAAACATGCACATATAAGATGCCTGAAGCCCCCGAAAAATTCAAACAAATATTTTACTACTATAAAACATATTCTGATTGCATAAATTAATCTATGGTATGTTATTTTTTTTACTTGCGCTCAGAAATCAAACAGTTATCAGTCTTCAACTTTTTAGAAAGAGGAGCTAAATGCATGTAAATTTGTGGAGATTTTACAAACCAAATCTTTTGATAATTTCTTTTTTTCTTCTCTTGAAGGCTTTGATGTGTAAATTAAATTATATAAACGCCTTGAACCAGTGGGACAAGTTGCCGCATGCTTTAGAGGTAGTAGTCATGTAAGTGTGCCGTTTTACCAAGGTACCTGGCATGTCGCATACAAGTAGGGGGGTTCATAATAGAAGTTCGCCGCATTACATGGGTCACATGCATCCGCCAGTGTTTCATCTGTTCTATCAGCTTCAGACTCGCTCATTAACGTGCTTACGGATCGTTGGAAGGCCTCCTTCACTTTGGCAGAGGAAGTTTCAGCTTGTGCACGTTCACAAGAGAAGAGAGTATACTCTCTTGTGCACGAGGCCGACGAAAACTGCCCAGATCATGCTATCGGGAAACTACCCCTTGAACTAATACACGAGTGACTAAGAACACAATCTGCCAGCCAGAAATATTCGTAAAGAGCATAGAGAACTCTACCTGAAATTAAAGATACATTTAGGGGCTCCTCTGCCCAACGCCACTGAATATGTTTCATTTAAATTCATAGTCTGAAAGAATCAACCAACAAATACACAAATGAGAGAAAAAAAAAGATAAAAACACTTTTGCTCGATCTCTGAGTACAGATACTGGAGCACAAAAAGCTTACACCACAGGCCCGATTCTTAGTAGTTCAGACGACATAGCATGTCAACGCTGCTTTCAGCCAGAACTAATACTTAAAAAGGAAAAGAAAATCAGAGAGTAAAACAAGTTTGGATGGAAAAATGCACAAACATTATAGTGAAGGATGACATTAGAATATTGTTAAAAGAATGGAAATATGTTGTTGATGCACTGTACTGAACTCTCGAAGTACAAAACCATTATTAATTAGTATGGACAGGGGGATGATGCAGGAAAAAAAAAATCTTAATACACTTAATCGATGATCTAAAATACATTTTCATATGCCTGACTACTTCCAGATGGATGTCATCGGTTCAAAACTAGTCAAATTGATGCAGATACGCACAGCTCACCCTATAAATATCAAGTCCATGACCATCTTTCTTGACACGCTGTATCTGCTATAGAGTTTTGACTCTACAACCGTCACAAGTATGTACTACTCCCTTCATCTTCATTTAATTACACAAACAAAACTACAGTAACAAACATATATTCATCTGCTTCCACACAGATAGATCAGTGGATATTCTTATTTCTGCGAGTATTGCACGCTCCAAATTATGCATTTTCCTAAATTTCTCCGACAACTCCAAAAGATCTTTAAATAGCTTTGATCAGAAAGCTGAAGTTCCCAGGATTACAAATATTTAAACATGAAGTACAACAATATCAGCTCTACATCATTAAGCGGATTATTTCCTCTTTGCCATCATTTCTTGCCTATAGCACAATTGATGCTGGACAATGGGATGCGACATCATCGTATTTCATGTGAATCTGCTTTGGTTCAGATCTAAATCCACACCGCCCACTAAGAGCGCATTGTGCAAATCTTTCTCCGTAGCTGTGTAAAAACTCTGACACCATAATATTTCGGGTAAATTTGAAGTGAAACTACATTGTATGTGGTACAAAGCAGAGTTTACTTGAAAGTTGTTGAATTATTGGATCTGGAGTAAGAATATTCATCAAAATCTCTTTCAGCAATGGTCTTATAATTCTAATCAGCATTTGCGCGACTCTTAATATTAAGTAATAACTAAAAACAAAGTTGGCAAAAACTATAGCTAGCAAATAAGTCACACCAACAGCTGAGAATTGAAGTATGTTATAGATTCCTGCACCTGTTTCCAGTGACAAAATGCTCCTCCATCTACGGCCTATCATAACAGGAACCATAATTTTCTAATATTTATGGCAGTCATAAATCAAGTTTATATTCCCTAAAATGCAAATATTAACCCCGTTCACATGCAATCAAACAGCCCTGACATAAGTGTTACAAGAACTGTTGTTGGATCACCTCAAGCCAGTACAACCAAAAGCATAAAGGATGAACTAGTTACCATTTACAAATTACATACATATGCGAACAAAACTACAACAGTATTTTTCTTCTACATGGAACTCTCATGAATTTTGTTATTGAATCAATACAATTCCCACATCCACACCATCTAGTGCTTCAGAGGTCCCATGACAATATCTTCACTCAAATCACAGTGGATACACAAGTCAAACGCCAGAGGCTATTTGGGTTAAGCCTTGTCAAACTGCCGGTTTCTATATTCTATGAAGAGCAATAGGTGCGATCATAGCAAGCGTTTTAATGTATCATTCATGTAGCTAGGCTTCTTCTCTTCATTTCCACCCAAAAAAGAATCCGAAGCCTCCTTACCATGTAGCAATTCACATTCCGTGCACTTGTTGGTTGATTTTTAATCCTTTTACCGGGGAAAGCTCTAAGAAATATAACATTCCTCTCCTTATACATCATACATAAGTAAAAGTCATCCATGTCTTCAGTCATGTAAAGTCAACTTGTATCATTTACTGTTTTCATGGAAAGCCTACTCTATTGCTAAGTGACAACAAAGTCTTCAAAATATCTCAGTTTCCTTTTTTGCCTTACAAATATTTCAGTGGTCATAGCAGCAGGTTTGGATTAAGTTCGCTGCGGATGAGCACATCAAGGCAATGGAATTACTGGGAACCAATTACTTTGAGTTAAGTAACATGAATAACAAATTTCCTAACTGTTATACCCTGGAAATTACCCCGTCTAATAACAGTAGCCAAGTATTGATTCGCTGGCAGACTCCCAAAGCATCTACAATACACGACCCGACTTGAGATTCTAATCCAAGTCAAAAGGCGCAGCCGACTCAGATCCTGTCAAGATGACTGACTCCGAGACGAAAGGTGTCCTCCACTCAGACCAGACGCAGTACGTCTCCAACAGTCATTCGGCCTAACAAGCATTCCTCAAAAGTCACGTGACATTTAATGAGTGTCCTATTAGCGCCCACAATCCTTCGCCTAGTCACCATCAATATTTAATGATGCATCAGTCATAATGACTGCACGCCACGCCAGAGCTTTCAAAGCACCTCATACATGCTATATATCCCACAGTCTTAACTGTGCAAAGTTGACTCGGCCAACCAATCGCCGACACTTGTAAAATAGGTCTAAAACAGTATTGCAATCCCTCCACAAATATAGATGATTTCTATCACAAAAGTAACAAAATTTTACACAAAAAAGTTAACATACCATGTTTTTCTCTTCAGATTAATTACACAAAATCACTAACTAAAGCATCGGTAGGCACGTCGAAGAAAACAACCTCTCGTGCCCCTAACCTCTATTGCATGTGTAGCGAAGCACATGTTATGATCCACAGCGAGAAGATCAACCATCAAGAGAGATCAAGGGTGCCCAAAAATAAAGTTCAACACTCCCAAATCACACATTAATTTTCCGACGTACACAGTTTGGCGCCCACTGTGGGGCCTTCTTCATCTCCTTTTGAGGAAATGATGATCTCTGGCTTTTGGATCTCAGGATCGGAGGTTGCCATCACCGCTCCAACGCTATGCCAGCCGAAGAATTCCCTCAAAGAGCAAACTGAGAACAAAGCTAAGAAACTATCAAGATTGTTCTAAATTACAAAGCATTACAGAGGGTGCCTCAGCAGAATGTAATTAGACTATAAGAACCCCTCTGTAAAAAAAAATTACGGTGCGTCATATACTAACCTGTATGAAGATAAAACCCCTTGATGTCTTTTCAGAGAAAAGACAAGGCACACACCAAGCCCTTGGTATCGTTTTCATGAGTGAAACCAAGGCACAAAGCCTTTCCCACTCGATCTTCATCGAGTTAGCAATGAAGACAAAAGCCCTTGGTGTCTTTTCAAAGTAAACCCAGGGCACGCACCAAGCCCGTCCTCACGAGTAAAAATCAAGGCACAAAGCCTTTGCCACTCAATCTTCATCGAGTCAGCAATGAAGACAAAAGCCCTTGGTATTGTTCTCAATAGTGAAACCAAGGCACGAAGGTCTGCGACTTGGTCCTCAGCGACTTGTCAGGCATTTATCAAAGCCTTTGGTTTCGGTTTTCAAAAGTAAGCTCAAGGCATGGAGAAGAGCCCTTAGCGCCTCGGTCGTCACCGACTTGTCAGGCATTTATCAAGATCCTTCGTATCAGTTTTCAAATGCAAACCCAAGGCACAACCCTCGGCGACTCAGTCGGAAAAATCTCAGAAAATCAAAAACACAAATGAGAAACAGTTGATGAAATAAGTGCAAAGAAATGAGTCAATTCTCAGGGGAAGAAGGGTCAGCCTCGTTGTCCAGACCTTCACCAACAACCTCCTCCTCCCCTTCAAAAGCCTCCACTTCGTCCTCCTGCACTATCCCTAACCCACCTTGCACTTTAAGTACCCTAGGTATATCAAGGCATGTGGCCACTTGGGAGGGATACTTGAAGCAATCTTCCTTTAATAAAAGCTTAGGAGGAAGTTGACCCTTCAAATAGTCAAAGCCCCCTTTACAAGCGAGGGCAACCTCAATCTTGCCCAGATGACCATTGTGATATCGCTCAATAATCTTGGTCTCATAGGCTTTCGACTCCAAGAAAGCCACATGAGTCCCAAGCTCCTGAACCTGGGCACGAAGGAGTTGCGCTCCTGCTCGAACTTTGGCGCCCTTACGGGCGGCATCCTGACGAAGAGCCTCCTACTGAGCCATCTCTCCTTGCAGCTTGGCTCGGAGCTCCTCCGACTTGATGCGAGCAACTTGAGCCGTCTTGAAGGCTTTTTCCTTCTCATCCTTCTCAGATAGAATTTTCGACTCAAAATAAGTCAATCTCTCCTTGGCAGGTCCTATTTCATAACGAGCACGATCGAGGCTCTCCTTAAGCTTCTAGGCATCTTCATGTGCCTGTTTCAGGTGAGCTTCACGTTGCTGAGCACTAGCCGTTACCACCTTCAGCTCTTCATCTTTGCGGGCCAGTTGCTGGTCCACAATGGACTGAACCCTCTCCAACTCGTCGAGCTCACTGCCCTTGATAGCGGCCGCCGACTCGACCACTTCTCAACCTCCCCTCTAAGCCTCCATCTCAACACAAATCTTGAAGAAAAGCTCAAGATAGATTCCGAATCGTAGAAACGATTCAACCTCTAAGAGGGTCCCCTGAGTGAGATAGCTTTGGAGGGCATGATGAAGACTAATATCAGGAATCTCACAGAGCAGCGCCTCATCTACGGGAAGGAACTACTCCACTCCCTTCTCCTGGTCGCTTTGAACTTTAGGACTGATCCCCTAATGTCCACTTGACGCTCAGGGATGAAGGGACATTCCTCTTCTCCCGCATAGCTAAGGACATGATTTAGGACCCATCAAGAGAGCCCACATCCCTTCTCAAGTGCGGGGCTGAAGTTCACCAATTCGGTGAGGATAGGGCCATTGGTACCGCCCTTCATGCACTGTCGCTAAGAGACCCAGAGCACCGGGAGCAATCTTCTTGTAAGCCGTAGCGATCAGATCCTCTTAGGCAGGTTCCTTTCCGGGTCTCCTAACTAACTCGTGGCCCAATCCCCGTCTCGATCGATGCACCTGTAGTGTCGACCCCTACTCCCTCATTCCCTACCGGATCCTTGACAGGAGCAACCTCCCCTTTGGCCTCCTCTTCGGGAATCGAATGAGGGAACTCACCCTTCTTAAAAAACTTAGGGAGAGAGTGGGGAGACTCTGGGGCCGCGGTCCCGATCAACCTAGGGATGTTCACAATCGGCCAAGGCGCATCCTCAACCACCTCGTCCTCAAGAGAAAGGAGTTCCCAGTGACGCTCCAGTAGCCACTTTCTTCCTCTTAGACCCCTTCGCTTGAGCAGAGGGTTTACCTAAGCCAAGCATTGCAGCGAGCTCAGTGGTGAAATGTTGTTGCAAAAGTTACAAGTCCTCCACCTCCAATTCACCACAAAGGCGTTTTCGAGGCATAAGAGAACCAGGGTGAGCACCCTCCACCGACTCCTCGTCGATAGAGAGAACCGCGGTGCGGGCCAAATCTACTTCGGAGGCGGGGACAAGAGAGATGCCAGTAGCGTTGAGCACATCGTTTCACATAACCTCCCAATGTCGTGAGCGTGGACCCTTTCTAGCCCTCAAAACTCCTCCGCCGAGAGCCTCTCCACACGAAGACCCCCCTTCTTGATCTATGGCCACGTGGGACAAGCTAGGATCGGGTCTGCACTCTAGACAAAGAACTTCTCCCTTCAGTTCTTGTTCATCGTCGGAGTGTTAGACACTAGCTTGAAATCGCATGTCGACTGTAGATAGAAGTGTCCTCTCCAAATTTGACGCTCACCAAGCTGCCCAAAATCCCCAATGTCGGCCTGATGTCGACACGATAATAGATGACAAGAAACTCCACTTAAGTTAACGATGGAGTTCAATGTTAGCTGAGTCAGAGCAACTCCAAGGCCCTAAAAACCCGTGTAAAAACGGGTGCAACGGCAAGCGAAGGCCATAATCGAGATGATCCCAGTACAACGACACCAAATCTCCACCATAACGGTAAACAGGTTGATACCTCAACGATGCTACGAGTGTGTAATCACTGGGGATGTCGAATCATGGATATATTGCTCCAAGCAACTTGGGAGCACATCTCAATAAAACTTGCACAACAAGGCAATCCTGACCTCGTTGCAAGCTCCAACAGGTTGACAACCAAAAAATGACAAAGCAGGAGAAGACATTATCAACGAAAGGCGAAACTTTGGAAGATCAAATGCACTTACAGCCACAGAAATTCAAATCCTATGGCTTCTGCGAAAGTAAGAAGGATAAAAACAATGTATATAAGCGGAAGGAGTAGCACGTGGTAAGGAGTTCGAGGATGGCACAGCTTAGGGGAAAAACACTACCGGTTTTCGAAAACCAAAGTGACGTCCCATGAGCAGAAGCGCCACTCCGCAAAAATTGCCACACGATTGCTACTGACGTTAGAAGAATCAAATCACAGCTTTTCCCCAGCAAAAGTGGTTTAAGTCCTAACTGAAGCACTTTATTTTCTCACACTTGGCTTGCAAAGTCCAAGTGAGAATATGCCAATGTTGTACACTAGAAATTACCCTGCCTAATAAGAGTGGCCAAATATTGATTCGCTCGCCAACTTCCAAAGCACCTATAATACACGACCCGACTCGAAATTCTAATTCGAGTCGAAAGGCGCAACCGACTCGGTGCCTGTCAAGATGCCCGACTCCGAAGCGAAAAGCGTCCTCTACTCAGACCCGACGCAGTACATCTCCCACAGTCATTCAGCCTGACGAGCATTCCTTAAAAATCACGTGGCATTTAATAAGTGTCATGTTAGCGCTCACAAATTGTCGTTTGGTCACCATCAGCATTTAATGCAACATTAATCATAATGACCGTGTGCGCCAGAGCTTTCATAGCTCCTCGTACATGCCATATAGCCCACAGCCTTTTCACTATGTAAAGTCGACTTGGCCAACTGATCGCCGGCACGTGTAAAGTAGGTCTGAAACAGTACTACAATCCACTCGGCTGAAATCACCAACGTGTCCCTCGTAATCCCTCTACAAATATAGATGATTTAGGTAATGCAATTTTACACATAAAAAAGTGAACAAGAGATACTTTGTTTTTCTCTTCAGATTAACTAGAAAAATCACTTACTTGAGCATCGGAGGGCACGCCGGAGGAAACCTCTACCGCCTCTAACCTCCGTTGCATGTGTAGCAAAGCACAAGTTATGATCCATAGCGGGAAGATAAACCATTAGGTCTCATGTTTATGAGCCTATTATCTTATCTGGTTTTGATGATTAACAAATAATTCCTAACATCGTTTGTCGAATACTTGTATTTGATTGTTAGGTATCCTATACAAAGATCATTGTCGGAGGTTGGTTGGAATTGAGCTTAACGATGACATTCAAATGAGGTTGGAAGGAAATCAGAATGAAGCTGTCACAATTCAAGTCAATATTCATCATCGCTTCATCCGCAACTAAGACGAGCTTAATTGAAGATCTATTGCTTGGGTATAGTATTTTGGGTTTATACTTTATGTGTTTATGCTTTAAGCTCAATTTCATACACGTATTATTTCATATTTTGAGTTTTTGGATTATAGATTGAACAATACCATTTTACATCATTTCCAAAGTAAATTAATCCACTAAAAGGGATTCCAAAATTTGGTTGAAATCGTTTTGACAAAATCAAGGGTTTAAACGAACTTGTATTTTTGAGATTTTGCAAAATGATGAGTTTTCACAAACGGGAAACAATATTTGAAAATTTTCATTCTAGCATGTTTGTTATCATCAGAATAATCATTTCCCTAAGTTTCATAATTTTTAGAATTTATTTACTATTTTTAAACGTACTTTGAAAAATAGTTTTACTGTTCATATAAGGGTTGTGCATGTTTTTCGGTCGCCCGATTGTTCATATCGGTCGATCGATAAACTGCTCTGGAATTTTATTTTTTGTTTCTACTTAGTCGACTGATCCTTATCAGTCGACTGAACAGTGTTATCAGTCGACCAATGTAGTGTCATCAGTCGACTGATAACTCATTTGTTTTTGCCTGTTCAGCCAACGGTCATATTATCAGTCGACCGACTTATACTATCAGTCGACTGATGATGTCTTTTTTCTGCAACAGCTAGTTATGACAGATTTTCTTTGAGAGGTTATAAATACCCCTCAATGCTTATTTTTTAAGCCAAGTTTTCAATTCATCAGTTTGTTTAAGCCATCTTGGCTACTCGTTTTTTAAGAGATCAAATGTTTGTTTGTTTGAAAAAAAGTTTACAAAGAGGAGAATCAAAATTTTATTTTTAAGGCGTTCAACCTCAATTCATCATCTATAACTCTTTGTTTTCATTGGAGAAGTTTTCTAAACTTATTTATCTAGCTTGTTCTCATTTTGATTCTCATATATATCTTTGCTAGATTTAATTGAGTTTAAATTTCGTTATTACTCATTATTTTCACACATAACCACTTAAGCTTGAGTATTTCATATTTAGTATATTTTGATTGTGAGAGTGTTAGAGAGTGAGCTTACAATTCGTTCTCATCCATTGTAGAGAACTAAACATTTATTTGTGCTTATTGTTGAGAACACGTTGTAATACACAAGGACACTTAGAGGAGTGGTTGGGAGAAGAACGAGGTCAATTCCAAGAGGAGTGACTTGGTTGTAAAAGCCTAGGAAGAGGTAGTAATTCCAAGCACTTGAGGAAGGTGACACGGGTCAACCAACACTTAGAAAAGTGTACTGTGATTGTCAACGTGTGATTGTAAAAGTTTTCGGTAAGGTTTGAAAACCGATTGTGTAGTGAATTTGAGATAGTGGAGAATCTCGTCGAGGTGAGGAGCGGAGACATAGGTCGAGTGTTAAGACCGAACTCCGTGATCATATTTGTTGTTTGCGATTGCCTTGGCGTATTATTCTTGTGCTCATTATTTATCATATTTCTATATCGCCATTGTCTCATAGTTTATATCGTCCATTGTTTAATTATACATCCTTGCATATATCACTTGTGTATATCATATTGTTAGGATATTGTTAGTAAATTTTAATTTGACATCGATATCGGATTAGATTAGCAATTACCCTATTCACCCCCCCTCTAGGGTACTTTCACAAGGGAGATCAAGGGACCCAGAAATAGAGTTCAACACTCCCAAATCACACACTAATTTTTTGACGTAAACACTAACCATTTCAAGTTAAGAAACTATTGGAATGAATAGCTATCCCCCCAAACTTATGTGATGTAGCTAAACTGACGAGTCTTTACATATCCGACAAGTCCTTACATATCCGCCAGGTTGCATGATTGCATCACTTATGCAATTCTCATCCCAAACTATAATTAGAGTTGTTAGTTTATTCAACCTAGAATCTAGATCATATTTCAAGTATTTAAATCCTCTATAATTTGGATAGGACTTGAGGATCTGTGCATTTTTTGAATGTTATGATTACCTAATGGATTTGCAATTGAGTAGAGTTAATAAAATCACATGCTATCTGGGTGTCAAAGAAGAGGGTTTTGTTTGCTTAAGAGAGATCCTGAAAGACCCCAAAATGACTCTTCCTCTAGCCCCTCAAAATATTTGTTTGTTTCAATGGAAAGAAGGCAAATAAAGATCTTAAAGAGAATTAGGTACATATTATGTATACACCTAAGACTACTTTGACATTTGTATTTGGGGAAAAAAGAGTCTCAAGACACATAAAAAGTTGAGGAAGACATATCTATGTTTTTTATTAAGAAAACTAGGGACTTCAATATGTAGATTTTCATTATTGTTAGACCAGTAGGCGAGAAATAAACACACAAACTGTTTACTGAAGTATCCAAAGACCCTCAAAAGTACTTTGGCAAATCCTAGATAGATCCTACGTGAAACCTACCATGTAGGATTGCTTTTCTATTCCAAGAGAAGAGTTTAAAGAAATGAAAAATGGATGGATTTATATCTATTGATTTTATTAGAAATTGAGGACTCACATCTGTATCCTAGATAGTCGCAATTTGAAAGAGTCCTTTAAGGCTAGAAAAGAAAAAGAGTCGAGAGTTTTCACGAAGTCAATACTTTGGATTTACAGAAAGAACTCTGGTGTCTTCCCTGTTAACAAACAGCCTCAATGCAGAGCAGGGGCATACAACAGGGAAGATGCGACCGATAATGAAACAAATATCAAACCTTCTACCAATAATTGTGAATGGTACAACATGGTTATGAATGTCCCAATTGTCAATGATGATGGACAGTCATGTCATCAGCTTGTTTTAGATGTCGAAATCTCCTAAATACCAGAAGAAATTGGCTATCAAATTGAAATGATATGTGTTCTCTGTGAACTCAGACAGCTATTCTACAGTAGACAATCGTTAGCATCATGTATCAAACAGCATTCCAAACGAACGTAACATAAGAATGAATAATTGTGAGCATACCGCCTAATAACATATCACCAAATCCCAATTTCACTATATACCGAACAAGAAATCCAAACACAAGCAATATCTTCCACATAAACACATGTTCTTATGTAGCAATCCCAATCTTAAAACAAAACCAAACCAAAACTGAAACAAAGCACAAGGTATACAAGAACCAGAACAACCCAAAACTGACCTTAAGACAAATACTGTCTCGGACATAAGAAAATGGGAACGGAATAGGACACGCCGCAGCGACAGCAATGCACCTCTCCTCCCACTCCCGAAATTTCCCGCAAATTTCCCAAAAACAAAAAAATCCACCGCCACGCGCCGCCGCCGGCGCCCAATCTAAGAAAAGCAAACCGCCGAGCACCCCACAGCACACACACACCTCACTGTCCAAGCAGGAGTGGCCCCCCTCCACCCCCCCCTCCCCTCCACACCCGGGCGCCCAGTACGCGCGACAGTTTACCGACTCGCCGCCTCTCCCAGCTGCGGGCCTTCCGCCCTCCCTAATCGGAGGAGACCATGCTCATCGCCAGCCGCACCTCGGTCGCCCCGGTCGACGCTCTTCCCCTCCCTCGCCCCACTTAAAATCTCCTCCTTAACCCACAACGGACGGCCGAACCCTCAACCTCCTCAAACCGCCGACGGCACCAATCCCCCATCGTCTACGGAGCGGCGCTCCCTCTACAACATCCCCGGCCCTCGATCTGGCTGCTCTCGAGACCTACCGCCGCGTTCCGAGCCAGGGCCGGCTCCCATCCGTCCTCCTGACCCGCGCACGCCGACCATGGTGGTCAAGCACCACCAACCTGGCGGGCCTTCGTTCGACCGGCGACGGATCCGTCACGCCCCTGACGGTCCGTCCTGGGTCTTACCCCTCGTCGATCTCGTTCGACTCGTCAAATCGCTCTCGCATCTTTCGGGCCCAGGATCCGCCTCTTTACCCTCGAAAACCCTAGGCCCTGCCCCGGCCCGAGCCCGACCATCTCGCGTACGCCCTCGTCGTCGAGGATCTTACCTCGCCGCCGCGTACTACCAGCCGCAGCCGCAGCCGCAGACGCACACGGCCGGCGAGGGATCCGGCCGCAGGTCTACCGGCCGGAACGCGATTAGCAAGATTCTTTGAACTGTGCATGGGGATATTGGCGGGGATGAGGAGGGACGCAGGGGGCGAGAGATGGAGGCGGTTGTTTCGGCGCAGGCGGAGCTCCGGAAGCCCGGGCGGAGGAGATTCGGCCGAGGCGTCCGCGAGATGACGGGGAGAAGGAGGCCGCTGAGCATGCAGCTCCAGCTTGTGCTGATGAACGACGTTCTAGAGGACGTGGTGAGGACAATGAGGGAAGAAGGAGGAGGGAACTCGTTTGTCGACTCCGATGGAGTCTTCGAGATGGCTGATGGGTTCTCGAGGCAGATGGCGGAGTGTACAGCGGCAGAATTGGCGGCGGAGGATTACGGGTTTATTTCTTTGAATAAGGCGTGTGCAGGAAGGTGCGGAACCGTTCGAGATGTACTTTGAAGAGTGTGACGGCGCTGTCGAGGAGCAATTCTTTCATAGGCCTTGCGGCAAAGTTAGGCTGCGCAGATGAGGTGCCAGTGACGAGTTATGGCGCGAGAGCGCCGGCGATTATTTTCAAAATAGGTCGTTTTTTGCAAATAAAATGCTAAAAGGGTTGGTTTTGAAAATTTGTCCTATGTCCGAAGTATTTTCACGCGGACCTGCCTCCATCACTTCGCGGAAATTGCGTATCCGCCCCTCGTCTTTGCTGTGTTACTCTTCAGAGCCATGATATATTGATATTGCAGAAACAATTTTTGATGGATCAACTAATTAATGGTAAACTGGAAGGTTTTGTTGGGGTTCGAAACAATCAAATCGAACCATTGCCCTTCCAGACCTTGTTAGAAAGTTGAGCAATAAAGAAATTCATCACAAATCAAAGATAAAAACTTGCAGAAATAAGAACAAGAGAGAACACACGAATTTAACGAGGTTTGGCAACGTGCCTACGTCCTCGGGAGCCACACCACACAATCTCTTTGATTAATTGAAGAAGGAATACAAGCGCTCAAATAAGGGATTAATCTCTCTGAGATTCTCTTTCTCTCTTCTCTCTTTCTGATGGTTTTTCACGTTCTCATTAGCCATAGAAAACATATAGCTATATATATATATATATGAATCCCAGCCCAAACTGAATTCAAAACAGATTAGGAAACTGCCAGCTCGACTCGTGGTCGACCGCCGAACCAGTCGCGATCGACCGGATAAACGATAGAAACCCAAAACGTCTACAGGGTATCTCCGGTCGACCGCAGAACCCATCGTGGTCGACCGCGAAAAGTCCAGAGACTTTTCTCAGTCGCGTGCACGTTCGCGGTCGACCGCCGAGAGCACCGCGGTCGATCGTACTGCAGTTTTCCTGTTTCTTTCGTTTTGCTTCATCTTCTTGATTCCGGTTTCGCTTCAGCTTTGGGTCTACACTTAGACTAACAATCTCCCACTTGGAGACCAAAGCGTTATCAGCGAGTTCACTCGAATAAGTATCTTCTCCTCCCCGGAAAATCCTTTCTTCAATCATTAACATCCCGACGATCTCGTCGATCCTTCTAGTGTGTCTCCGCCTTCATCTTCTACTCGTGAAGGCCAACTGAAGTTACGCATAACTTCAGTTTTTTAATGGTGACTACCTTCGTCAACATGTCCGCCAGATTTTGACTCCCTAAAATCTTAATTAAGTGTAACTTTCCGTCTTCAATCAACGAGCGTATAAAATGGTATCATATGTCGATGTGCTTCGTTCTGGCATGATAAACTGGATTCTTGGCAAGATACATAGCGCTCTGGCTATCACAATAAAGAACTCCTCTCCCTTACTTCATATCCAACTCTTCCAAGCACCCGTTCAACCAGATCATCTCCTTGCTTGTTTTAGTCACCGCAACATACTCAGTCTCGGTTGTAGATAAAGTCACAATCTTTTGCAGACGTGAGACCCAACTCACTGCTGTCGACGCTAAGGTATAAATATACCCTATGGTGTTTCGTCTCGTATCATGATCACCAGCGAAGTCCGCATCCACGTATCCCTGCAGCACCAGCTCATTCCTCCTAAAACATAGTGGCTTGTTCGTTGTCCCTCTCAAGTACCGTAATATCCACTTCACAGTGTCCCAATGTTGCTTCCCTGGATTGCTTACAAACCTGTTCATAACTCCCACTGCATGGGCAATGTCCGGCCTCGTGCAAATCATCGCGTACATGAGACTCCCAATGACCGAAGAATATGGCACACTGCTCATATGCTCTCTCTCTCTCTCTCTCTCTGCATCTGTCTTAGGCGATTGCTCCTCGTATAACTTGAACTGGCTTCCAATGGGTGTGCTGACAACCTTAGCATTCTGGATATTGAATCTCTAAAGTACCTTCTCGATATATTCAGTTTGGCTCAACCTCAACGTCCCTTCAGGTTCATCCTTACTGATTCGCATCCCTAGAATCTGCTTTGCTGCATCCAGATCCTTCATTGCAAACTCCTTTGCCAACTGCTTCTTCAAACTGTTTATCTCCTCTAAACACGGTCCTGCTACTAATATGTCATCAACATATAATAACAATATAATAAAGCTGGACTCGAACCTCTTAAAATAGCAGCAATGATCCAAATTGCATCTTCTGTAACCATTGTTTTGCATGAAGTTATCAAACTTCTTGTACCACTGCCTCGGAGCCTGTTTCAAACCATATAAACTCTTTTTGAGCTTGCATACCATCTCTTCCTTTCCTTCTTCAATGAAGCCAATAGGTTGTTTCATGTAGATTTCTTCATCCAAGTAACCATGAAAAAAGACAGTCTTCACATCTAACTGCACAAGGAAGAGGTTTTCTGCAGCCACCAAGTGTTAGCCTTCTTGTTTTGATGATGTTTAACAAATAATTTACTTCTAATGTTGTTTGTCTAGTATTTGTGGCCTTCTTGTTTTGATGATGTTTAACAAATAATTTACTTCTAATGTTGTTTGTCTAGTATTTGTGTTTTGTATCTATTATAGACAAACTGTTTAACAAATAATTTACTTCTAATGTTGTTTGTCTAGTATTTGTGTTTTGTATCTATTATAGACAAACAACGAGTTGGAGGTTGGATGGATTACGCCATAACGATCATATCAAATGGAGGTTGGCGGATTAGTAAGTGAAGCTATGTACAATTCAAGTTGAAGATCCAAGTTCAACATTCATCCGTAAGTATACCAAGTTGAGCTCATTGAAGACCTTCATCAAGCTTGGGTAATTTAGTTTAGGTTTTATATTATGTGTGTTAGTACTCTAAGCTCAATCATACACACACACTTTTTATTGGTTCCTATATATATAGTTATATATACATATACATCTTGGTTTTTAGTTTTATCCATAAACAAAGTTTTTACAAATAAATTCCAAAAATTATGTATACATGTTTGTTTTCTATGTGGATAAATTGGTTTGGTTTAACTTCATAGATATGAAACAAATATATATTCATATTCATACTCATATGTTTCATATTCTATTGTATTTGTGAAAATATTGTATTCATTATTTATAGATTTCATAACAATAGTTTATATCTTTCTTTAAGTCTATAAAATTATTTTGTAATGTTTCAAAACATGGTTAAGCTAAAAATATCAAAACTCATGTGTTCACATTTTTATGTTTTAGACTATTTTGTAAAATGATGATATTTCTCATTTGGGATGTCCTTTTTGAAAACCAGTTTTTGTAACATGTGTATTATCGTGTTTACAATTATTTCTCAAAGTTTTATATTTTTCTGAATTTATTTGATATTTTTAAACAGGGTTTCAAAATTATCAAACTGCTTCTAAACCTGTTTTGTCATATATCAGTTTACGGTTGACCGTCATGGTCGACCGCACCTTTGTTTTCCTTACGGAGCCATAAGCAACTTTTACGGTCGACCGCCATGATCAACCGTCAGCTCGAAAATTTCCCACGGTCGACCGCCAAAGTTTCTGAAAATTTTTCAAGTCTTGAAAGTATTCATATACATACTCATATGTTTCATATTCTATTGTATTTGTGAAAATATTGTATTCATTATTTATAGAATTCATAACAATAGCTTATATCTTTTATTAAGTCTACAAAATCATTTTGTAATGTTTCAAAACATAGTTAAGCTAAAATGTCAAAACTCATATGTTTACATTTTCATGTTTTGGACTATTTTGTAAAATGATGATATTTTTCTTTTGGGAGGTCCTTTTTGCAAACCAGTCTTTGTAGCATGTTTATTATCATGTCTACAATCATTCCCCAAAGTTTTACATTTTTTAAATTTATTTGATATTTTTAAACAGTGTTTTAAAATCGACAAACTGTTTTTAAACCTGAAAAATTTCATATATCAGTTCCCGGTCGACCGCCACGGTCGACCGCGCCTTTGTTTTTCCCTCAGGATGCAGCAGAAACTTTCGCGGTCGACCGTCACGGTCGATCGTCAAGCTGAAAATTCCCACGATCGACCGCCACGGTCGACCGTCGAACTCTCTGGAAATTTTCTGAGGTTCAAACGTGCCTCGCGGTCGACCGCGAGAATTTCACGGTCGACCGCCGATAGCCCAACGGCTATTTTTGGTACAAAATCGTATTCCTGATTTTCTGGGATTTTTGTTGTTTTGTTAGGGATTTTGGCTGTTGGTTTCTCTTCCTATATAAACCCCTCAACCCCTCTTCTATAAGTAACCAAGGAGAAAGCTCTAAACAAGTTTGAGAGGGTTTTACAATTTGTTTAGTTTGTTTTTAGGGTTTGCTTTTACAAAGAGGAGCTTGCATCATTTGTTGAGGAGTTCATCTTCAATATCTTCTCATCCTCTCTTTGTGTTTATCGAGAAGTTTTCTAACTCATTTATCTAGCAATTTTATTATTGATTTTCATATTCTTATTATTGCTAGTTTGTTATTTGAGTTAGATTTTATTTCACTCATTGTTTACACACACCCACATGAGCTTATTGTATTTTCATACATAGTATATTTGGGTTGGTGAGAGTTCTTATTGTATTTTCATACATAGTATATTTGGGTTGGTGAGAGTTGTAACAATTGAGTGTGAGTTTTCATTATGTTCTCATTCATATTAGAGAACAATCATTTGCTGTATTTGTGCTTATTGTGAGATACACTTTGTAATACACTTGTACACCGAGAGGAGTGTGTGGTGAGAGTCGGGGATCGTCCCAAGAGGAGTGGCGTCGGTTGATGAACCTAGGGAGAGGTTGTAACCGAGCACTTGAGGGAGACACGGTTAGGTCCAACACTTGTGAGGGTGTAAATTAGGTTTGCAAGAGTTTGCGTTGTAGAGTTTTCTGTTAGCTAGAAAACCGAGTGTGTAGAAGTTCCGGCTTCCAAACCGGATTGTGATAGTGGATTTCTCCCCGAGAGTGGGGAGCGGAGACGTAGGACGGAAGGTCCGAACTCCGTAATCATTTGAGTGTGTTTGAGTTTGTCATTGGCGCATTTGCTTATGCATTTATCTTATATCGCCAATTGCCTATTACTCTTGTATATTTTACCCTA